AGTTTTTATTTTCTTGTTTCTTTAGTATGATTATGAAGTTGTCGTTTAGAGTCAAATGAGTCGCATGTTTTCTCTTATGCAAATGGTTTGTAACTTTCTCTATCAGATAACATTTGAACGGATCTTAAAGATTGCAAAATTGTACTTGTCGCTGCATGCTCCTTTCCCTTGCGAACGTAAGCTTGTGGTAGATCTAAACATTATTTATTCAAAAGATCTTTCAATAAAGAAACAACAGAATCTGTTCACGAACGTCGAAACGAATTTGAAGCACATTTTTAATCAGGCATGCAACTTCAAAGAAATGGAATTCTTTTGACAGACCAGAAAAGAAAAGAGTCTGCGAGAAAATTCCCAAGCTAACCACAAAGTTAAATTTAGAAGAACTATTGGAACACGCAATCCCGCGTGCTACCGGCAATCTCTTCTGGTGAGAAATTTCCATGTTGTGAGGCCTGTCTCCATTCATCTTATTTCCAAACGAGATAATAACGCTTTACTAATGTCTGTCATATTTAAAAGTCATAAATCTGGCATTCTTTTCACTTTATTCAGTACAATCAACTTCAAAGGGTCGTATTGCTATATTTTATCTCTGCAAAGGATACCGTATTCCACCTCTAATAAATATCGGAATATAACTTAGAAAAAAGACAATTTTTCAGTAGTCTTCTTTTTAAATCTAAAAATTTGTCTCTTGCCCAGGGTAAGAGAGAAAATGATAATTTCTAATAGCGTCCGCCAGATATAAATATTCACTAAAAAAAGACGCTAAATATCCATACTGTTGGCCGAAAACTTCTTTTAGTCGAAAAGTTTTAGCCAAAGAACACTCTCTTTTTAAAATCTTTTATTCGGTCTTTTTTTTTCTCTCGCCAACAATAACCGCGTTAAAACATCTGAGTAGAATTCCATAGCTTTTGTTTCCAAGTCGCCTTTGTTCTCACTTCAAAAGAAAATTTATTTAGGCTATTCACAGCAAAACAATAACCGCTGTTAAGCCACGGTAGTAAATAAAGGAGACGAAGTGAAAGTGTCAGAACTCACCCTGCTTGTCTGGTGATGGCAGTTAAATCGAGAACGACAGAAAAAAATAGGTTACATAGATTTTTACAAAATATTTACTAATGTCAACGTTGTATTAATAGCTGTTAAGACGTTTCGTGGCCTTAAACAAGGCAGGCGTTGCATGACACTGATGAACTTGAGAACACTTTGCGATGTTTTCCCAGTTCCTGTGGGAAAATGGAAACAATATCGTATGGTGGGATTGGTAAAGCAAAACAAGATAAAACAGAGCTTTGTATGAAAGATTAAAGCAAGAAAAAAATCAGAAAATTGCATAATTTATATATTTCAGGAAATTGTCGAATATTATTTTGTTTTTTTAGATTCTTTCTCACTAGTTGTTTATTTAAACCTCTGTACGAAAGAATTTCTTAGTTATAGAGAAATGATTCAATTTCAAAGTCAAACTGAGTGACAAAGTAACATATTCAGTAGATATGATGCTCAATTTGTTTTTAGATCGATGATATAAAATTTTCATTCTCTCTTACGCCCAAGTTTTGCATGATGTAGAGCCTAAAAACTTACACCCGTGTGTTAAATGGCTGGTACACTAAGACAATCTTGTACAATTATTTCATGCAATAGTAAAATTCTCAAGCGCTATAACGCACATCCCTGTCCATAAATTGAGCTTTGCCTGGCGATAAGGAAGATCGGCCAGCAGCACCATATATTAAACCCGTTTTTTTCAGAAGCAGGTAACGTTTGCCACCCGTTTTAAAAACACGTGCAGTTCTGGTAGTAATAACTAGGTAAAAGCTGTCAGAAAATGCAACTTACCTCGAAATCTTTTCATCGTGTTTGCCCTGTCACCCAAGTCGTTATATTTTTACACTCGTTTTCCGAGTTCGCTAAGGATTCGGCAGACGAGGAGTCGTGCTCGGTTATTAGATCTTGTAGATGTTTGATATAAGCAACTGCGCATCGCAGGGTTTCTACCTTGGACAGTTTCTTTTTGTCGGGGAAATAAGGAATATGCTGTCGAAGGCAAGAAAAGCCATCGTTCACCATTCTTACCCTGTTTCTTTCGCGTTCGTTTCTTCGCGCGACCGCTGAAGGTTCCATCTGAAACGCTAAACTAGCGGCGCTCACGCAAGTTTTCTTTTTTGATCTTTTCTTGATACTAAGTTCGCCGTCCGCGTCTTCCGTTGGTTGAGATCTCTTCCTGCTAAGCAGTAGGATGTTCGTTGTTTTTAAATCACGTCGCGTCGATTCAACTGACAATTTCAACAGTTCAGACATACTTTCTTCAGAAACGTCAAACTCTTGCTCGGTTTTGATATCCATTCTCGCTATTCACCTCAGTGTCGTCGGTGCGGATGTTTTTAAAATCACATTCACGGAGTTCTGTAAAGCCAATCCCGTATCACTGTCTAATAACTCAACTCAGAGCCTATTTACCAGCTCTCATGTATTATTTATTTTCATTGTTGTGTAAATCGTATCTTTATGCGAGTTGAGGTGAAGTGCCGGATACAAATAATCTTTATGCTGTACTTACCTCCCCATAGAATTTCCTCTTTTACATAAAGAACAAGAACTTTAACTCGACTAAATCAATTCTTAACACTTTTTGTTCAAAAAATTTAACGAGGCCAACCAAAAAATTGCTCATTTTATGACCAGCTGAGTGTTAAATGTTTTATTTTGTCATGTTCAAATTTAACATTGATTTAATAATTTTTCATCATTGAAATTGAGAACTGGTTAATTAAAAAAAATACTTAATCTTCGCCCGTTCAAAAATTCCCTTCATGGAAATAAAATTTTCGTCGGAGAGATTGCAGCGATCCAATGAAAATCTTACAGCATAACTAAATTTTTATGATGCGCCCGAAGATAGTTTCGTTGTGTTTCGATTCATTAAAAAAAGTTGTACTGTTTACTTTGATATATATATATCCTTAAGAATTATTCAATTATCTCATGCCTTTAAAGGTAGCAGGTGTTGCATGGGAGGAAGTTTCTTGATCAAACACACAATAGAAATTTAATGAGACGTGAGCAGAAACCTTTCAAAAGACACGCGGCAAGCAAAAACAACTTAAAGAAAAAAGGCGTCTAGATACGTTAATAGGCGTATATAGCTCAGTGGAATAATCCTGTTATCAATAGAATACGACGATTGAGCCACGGGAATCATAACAAAGACGGAATTTATTTGGAAAATAAAACATTTAACGGTAGAAATTTTCCGATTTTGTGACTTACACTATGGATTGCATTGATTTCAGCAATACAACAAACTGCTCAAGATAGTAACACTAACTCTTCTCCAGTCTTTTTATGTCTTCTGTACCGTCACTTGTGGTCACGTGGTGTCTTATAATAGTTACGGAAGACTGATGATACAACCTTAACACACTAACAAGTCAGCGTCTGAAATAGTCTCATTTCGACTGGAACATTTATCGCCTGTCGTTCATTCACGATTAAACAAATATCTAAGGGATATTTCAGTCGGGTGAAAGACGGATATATAGCCAAATTCATCTGATACGAGATCAACCTCAGATCTGCTGAGTTTTCGGCTTTGAAATCTCTTCCCAGGAAACTAGTTTAATTTTTCTACTTCTGAAAATTTTTGGTACAGTATGTAAGGTCACCCCTTTCTTTTACTTCGGCGATTCTGGCGCAGTGAGGAGACACACGTTTGCTGCAGTCACTTATTTTAACTAAGTACATGTACACGGTTACGCTTAGGATTCGTGAAATTCAACGTGTACGCTGAATTTGCTTCGTGAGGGAAAAACTGGGTGTCCGGCTGCATTTACGCAAATCGGCGAAGATCTGATTTGTTGAAGCATTGGACTAGCGTGATTCTGCTTTGTTTTTGGATAATTTGTAGACAAGGGAATGTGTACAGCGGATGTCAAGAAGGGCAGCAAGAATAAAGAAGTCTCCCCCGGGATCTTGAACATTTGTCTACGTACATAGTCCACATGGCTGTTGATCTAATAACGGGAAAGTCGAAGACAGGAAACGCGTCATTATGCTTCGTTTTGTCTATAGGTCAACCTGCACGTAGGCGTTTAATTTTTCATTTGTCTCACTCGGAATGGAAAAGAGACACGCGCGGTCGCGCATATTTGAACCGCAGTCTGCCTACGGCGTGTCTACGTACTCATATTCCACTCCCTTAGTGCATATGATAGACTAATGCAGCATCTTCTTACCTACTGAGTTCATGATGTAAATTGGTCACCATAAAAAGTTTTCTGAAACTTACATTTCGAGCGTTAGCCTTTCATTATTCGCTCTGACAAAAAGCTAAAGCACTCTATGGCGGCCAATTCACATTATCAACTCCTCAGTTGATGAAACAAAAATTTCTTGCGATATCCCCTACCGCCGCAGCATCACAGTTTTTTTTTTAAACTTTCCCACGTTATCTACCTTCTTATCGAAACTAGAAGAGCAAATCGCAAAAATGATCATGATATTTCCAATGGGCACTGAATTTTAAGATAAAGGAGTCTCAGCATTTTCATGCATAGGGAGCGTAGCAAGATAGGCATTTCCTCTATGAGCAACATTATCGTTACACTTCATATTTCAACTTCAAATGTTCAGACTACCGTGGACTACCGTCTTTTCGCAAGGGCACCAATTGAAGCCAACTGAAAAAATAAATTTAAGTTATTACCACCCCTACAAACTAGTACGCGCATCTAAAACGAGTTTTCGTAGTTGCGAGGTAAACCATGTTAATTTCACCACGGAAAAAGGCCATAGGGCTGAAACAATTAATAGCACCCCATTTTGCTCCAATAACGAACGCTGGTTTTTAATGAACTCCTATTAACTCTTTCATGATAATTTTTTCTTCTCAGTATTCTGGTCTTATTGCGACCTTGCTAATCTTTGATTCAGACAAGGATAGGGTGAATGTCTGGTGGAATCATTATTTCGCTCGTTTCCAGTCTACACATTTCTCATCGTTTGGAACGCCTGCTCGATTTTGCAGTTCTCGAGCCTTGAAAATGGCGCCAGTGGCATGTGTCAGTAACTTTCTGTAATTCCAAAGGAACGGAGCACATATAGTAAGGGTAGGTCGACTTTCACGTTCAAAGAAGTCCATTGATAGAATTTTGATTTTTTTTTTGTCTGAGAACTGTATCTAGGTGAAGGTCGCAACTCACGGTCGCCCACAGCACTCCATGTGTACTTATAAACCGCTCAAGAGCTGAATGGTTCTTGATTTTTAAGTCTAGTTTAGGGCTATAAACTTGCCTAAAATTTCATAGTGTCATATTTAACTCAATTAATTTACAGTCTGTTGAATTTGGAATTGTTCTAAATTTTGCAGGAACAAAATGCCTTCGGCAAATGGAGCTGTACCGAGCACATTTTCATTCGAGAGTGTGCAAGATGTGAATGTCGTAGAGTTCTGTCCATTTGACAAGGCAGCAGGTCTTATTGCTTATGGTGGCGAAAACAGAGTAGCACTGGGCATGTGTCTTTTCCAAGAGGAGGCCCAAGACAGTCACCTTCCTCTTCTGCAGTTTAAACATATCACAGATTTTCATCATGGAACAAGTGTTCTGTCTATTGCCTGGTCTCCTAAAACAAACATTCAACACTTACCTTATTCTTTCCAGTGAGTGAATGTTTGAAGGTAGCTCTGATTGTAATGCATAATAGTTAAGACAGAAAAGATCCTTTGCCAAAACAACTCTCTCCATTTGATACCTTAATAAAGCTGCAGTCTGGATATGAATAAGAAATACACATATTGATTCAGACAAAAAACTGAATACTACATAATCTGTAAGTGATTTGTTACTGCCTGCAATCTGTGATATCTTTTGATGTCTTAGAAAAACATTTTTTATTTTTTTACCTGAAAAGGTGTTCAGTAATGAATAGGGTCTTCAAAAAACAAAAAGTTTTCTCAACATGTTTATCAAAACTGGATCCAGTTTCATTCATTGGCTTCATTGGCTCACCATCCAGGTTTTTTATAATGCTAATGAAAAATTCCAACATATTTTAGGTTCTGTACAGCAGGAGAAGATAGGAAGCTTCGTTATTTCATTTCTGATGGCAGGGATTCATCAACAGTGACCACTTTAGAAGGACATCTAAGTTACATTAATGATTGTGTTATTGAACCAGTAACTGGCCTCAATGTGGCTAGTGTCAGTGGTAAGTAACAGTAGTTATTATATGATATGTAGGTTGTCGTGTACAACAGACTTTGAAGCTGGTAGGTGGTAGTGGGTGTACAATATACATCTGTTTAGGAGGATTTTTGGGCTTGGTTTGTTATCCTTGGATTGAGGTTCTTGGTATGTTTATAAAACTTTATCACACTATAAGCATTGCGTTATGCTTTGAACCCAACACAAGTGTCCTTACTCTTCTCATGAAAATCCCCCAAACAATGAGGTGGGGGTTGGAATTACTGCACTTTGAATTAATTTACTGCTATATATGACAAAAGTTGTAAGAATTTTCTCTGTAATTTAGTTATCATTTACAAGCTTTTCTAGGATTGAAATTATGATTTTACTAAATACAAAGGATTGCAATGATACAGAGCTGTCATTGAGAGCCAGTTATGGTTCCAAACCTCTGACTAGTCTGCCCTTAACTGGTTACTTTCAACTCATTTTACCATTTGATAACTGCCAATAAAAGGGAAAAAGCATCCCATAGCATCCCATCCAGGGGGGGAGTAGCAATACTCCTAGCCGCTTCATACTAAGAAAACTGGAGTTAAGCACTGGCCCCATGGGCCACTTGGGCCCATATAAAGGCTTTACTTTTTACTATTGAAATATTGAGGAAATTTGTGAAACAAACAATTCCAAGATTTAAGTAGAATTGAATGCTAAATTCACTGGAGACAGGTTAAGGTACCGTAGTTTTGTTGAAAGTTTTCACCCTCAGAATTTTCTTAAAGATTCTTGCAAACTTTGTAGAGTCCCTGGGACTTTGTAAATGAATAGTTACCAGTCCTGTATAAATCTAACCAAACAACAAGGCACCACTATAACCTAGCTGCCTTTTATTTCTTACTGCCTTCCACTTTCAAACTTGTTGACAGTTCTGATGATATTTCAGGTTTTGTTCTGATATGGATAAAATTATTAGACCTCAGACACATAAGGTTGCAAAAAGTTTGTTTGATTCAAGAATAGATCAAACATCTGCCAATTTTTAATATACATACTTTTTAACAGATGATCATACTTGTCGGCTGTGGGATCTGGAGACTGGAGCACAAAAGACATCCATTCCTCTTGGGTCAGCTGGAATGAGTGTTAAATGGAATCCTGTTGAACCAAACAAGGTTAATATGAATGATTTAAATGTAATGACAAAATTTATCTATGTCCTTGCAAAAATAACATTCAATTAATGTAGTTGTCTTATTTTAAGTCCAAATATAGGGTGTTATGTCATGACAATACCTCTTTATTGAGAATGTCTTTCATTTCTCATGTATCCCTTTAACTCACAGATGTGATTAATATGTAACTTCTCCCCATAATATCCACTCATTACCCAGCTAACAGGTTATGAGAATACTCAAACTTATCAGGTTGAAGTTGTTCTCTTGATTTAACACCAAATTCTTGTAACTAATTTACAAGGAAAGGTGTAGCAGCTTGAGGGGAGAATTAAAACTCTAATCATGGGATTTAAAGAGTTAATTGTCAGTCTGTCTGTCTGTCATCAGTGTGTTAACCCTTTCACTCTCAAGATCTTGTTAGTTATTCTCCTTACTGCTCCTCATACAAATCTTCTCATGTTAGTTTGGATAATTTGGTATTGGATCAACTAATAATCCCTTGGTCGATGTTTTCTTTATTCTCATTGTATGCATCTACTGATATTGTAACGAGAAATTATGTTTTGGTCACTTATGGGAGTTAAAAGGGTTAAATTGAGATAATGATTACAGTGGCCCATAGAGGACATGCCATATTTTTTCTTGCATGATAAATCTCATTTATCCCATGGTAAAATCAAAATATAGTGCAATAATTTTTAATTTATTGCATGATATTTTTATTTGTAAATCTCAGTTACTGCAGGATAAAAAAAAAATGTGGCATGTCCTCTATGGGCCACTGTGAATGATTACTCTGATTCCCTATTTATTACTCTGAAATACTAATACTCTTGGTCTGATATCATCATTGGATTTTAATTATGAATGCAACAAATTTGGAATCTTGGGATTAGAGTAGTTATTCTTAGGAACTGTCATAAGAGTAGAGATAAGATTTTCACTCTTGACATGACATATTAATTTAAGGCAACTGGTGGGGTAAGTTGAACATGTCTTAAAAATTTATTACATAATTATGAAAATCTCTGAAGTAAAATAAAATAACACACTGTAGTTTAAATAAAGAGGGGAAAACATTGACTACTTGATGTAAATGGTGTGTACTGAGGAATGATAGAAAAAAATATGTTTTAGTCCAGAAAGGTTGGTCAAGTGCCCCTCTATTTCCTATTAAAAACTGGATGATATTTATTCTAAAAGGCCACTTAGGAAGACTATTAAATATTTGAATCACTATCAGTAGCTGGGCAACTGTCCACCTACCCCTCCCCTAACCCAACATTAACCCTAACTTGTTATCAATTGACTCTTGTTGAGTTAGGGGAGGGGTAGGTGGGCAGTTGCCCAGATACTGATATTGATCCAAATATTTTTCATTTTTTTTAAATTATAGAATAACCATAATATTTAATTTCTACTATTTGACAACAGCTGATGGTGGCTGAAAAGAATGGAATAATAAGATTTTATGACTTGGTGAGCCAGCAGCCCATCATGTCTCTCAGCACTGAGCAGCTTCCTCTCATCTCAGCTGATTGGTGTAAGGCCAATGCTCTGAAAGTTGGTGCAGTAGCCAGGGATGACTGGCTTATCTGGGATATGTCAAAGTCAAGGTATGTTTGTCAAATTGGTTTTCACTTCACTCGACTGATAATGTTCAATGCATCCTATGAATATATCTTAAGTTTGGATCTCCTCTCAAAAATTTTGATAGTTATTTTAACCACAGACAGTGGTTTCAATAACTTTTTCCATGAGCAGCTGATTTAGTGGGCCAAGTGCCATAAGGTGAAACCCAAACACAAGAACCTTCAAGCAGACACACCACAGTAAGAGGTCTTAAACGTGGTGTTAGATGGCCTGTGCCTGGCTTTTAGTGAAACCCCTGTATAAAACAATATTAACATCATAGTTAAGATTCTGTCCTATAGAGGTATTTTAGTTTTAATTAACATGTAAATACACTACATTTACATCAGCCAGACTGAAAGATCTTTGCAGGAGAGAGTCAAGAAGTATAAAAGAGACATTTTTAAATACATGTTTAAAACAGTTGAGACTGGTAGTGCATGAAAAAAAAAAGTGAGAGGAGGTGCACAATGCTCTATGAGGTGATGAGTAAACCAGTTGACCATTTCAACTGAATACAACTATCAATCTGTAGTTGAAGCATTAGGATCCACACTTAAAGCAACTATGGTATGAGAAAATTATTGCATGTTACTTAATTACTACTTTCAATTAATAGTTCTTTTAAATGATAATTTTTATGAATTATTGATTTCATCACAGTCTACCAGAAGTTGCAGAACAGGCTCATTTAAAAGGAGTATGCAAATTTAGGTAATTGAATTGCGCAGAATGTTATATGTTTGTTTCCAGTGTTTGCCATAGTTTCCTATATTTGATGGTTGTTATAATCCTTTGGCTGCCAATACTAATAGTAATCTGCAACACCAAGAAAAGAATTGACTCTTGACACAGTGGATTACATAGCTTAATTTTGTTTTGGATTCAAGAAGTGTTAGCAAATAGTATGAATTCTGATTAGGCTTTATGAAATTTACTGAATGATAGGATGAGTCCAGTCCATATAACAGAGTTTTTATACTGACTCGTTGCCAAAATGAGTAACTTAACAAAATTCACTTCAACTTGTTGTTTTACTCCATAGATGGTCACATGTGCATGAGAATCTGTTTGCTACCACTGGTCGTCCTGGTAACCACATCAATGTTTATCACATGGGGCACCACAAGGTGGGTTGAGGTTTTTTCTGATCCATGTTACTCTTTATCTTCCTTATTTACAAGCAGGGTAACACTATCAGATGAAGTGCTATGCTGTATATTGTTTCAAATCTTACTACCATGAGTATTGAAAAGATTTGTAGGGATTTTATGTGAGTTGTGGTTGGCTTTTGTTTTGTGAGAAAAGGTAACTGAAATTTCTGCTGGAAACTAAGTGAGATTTGTTGTTGAAGCAGTATATTTAGAGGAATAAGGGTAAATTGCAGGTTTGAATGTTTGCGTATTTTTATTGACCTGCTAAAGTAAGCACCTACTCTACCTTCAGCTGAAAGAAAACTAATGACAACTAGGTTTAAATTTGTGTTCTCCTATTTGGACTTCTCAAAATGTCCTCTAAATCATCTGTTGGGATTTATGTTGTAATTTTGTTAATAAAGTACATGGAAAAAATAACCTGTTTCTGACACAAGAGCAAACTTTCAACAGAAGTGCAAATAACAAATAGTGCACACCATCAAGTTTTGCCTGTCTTGATTTCTGTGATGCTTTTTTCATGTGAATTATTTACAAGTAATACCACAATTTCTGGTGCAATTTGGTGTAAGAAGCTCTAGCAAATTTTTCAAAGACAACATAATTTCACTCACTCCACGGGCTTATTTGATTTTGTTGTATTTGAAAAATGTTCTAATGCTTATTAACACTAAATTGCGCTTTTTGTCATGTTATTACCTACACTTATAACTGACATTAGTCAATGTTTTGAAATTACTGGTGATCCTTGCAATCTGATTGGCTCTTGATAGTGCAATTTATTCATGAATCACACCTTTTTTTGCTCTAAATTGCATTTCTTCCTGGCCAATGAGAAAGCTTTACTAAAATCCAACAACCAATCACATTTCAAGGCTTGTTTAAAATCACCAGTCAAATTGTAAGAAAATGATTAATAACTTTTGCAACTTTTAACAAACCAGCAAAGTACTGGATCAATAAAATACTTTTACAGACCAAAAAACCCAATATTTGGACAATTGAGTGTTGCAGTTTCAAAATAGAGGTAATTAGAGGTAATTGGACTCTGTGACATGCAATTTTCATCTGAAATCATCTAACTCACATTTGATTTTGAAATCACAAGTTTGATTTCAAAGTAAATATTGCACTGTTCTCAGTTCAATTGCCATCATTCATTGCTCGGTGTTGTTACTCTGGTCTTGGCTTTTAAACACTGAATTAAAATGTTCCCAGAGATGCGAGTTTCATTAATTTCAATTTTCGTTCCAAATTTTTCTTGCAAGATCCCTGTGTCATGCCAGATGCCGACTGGAGGAGGACTTTCATGGCACCCTTTTTTACCTGTATGTGCCTCAGCTGGAGGGAACAAGGTGCATTTATGGTTCTTAGAAGTATAATGATCAAAATAGAACTGACAGAAGTAATGAAGGTGAATAATTACTTTCTCCTCACACCACAGATGGAATAGAGATGTGACATGAACTCCAAAACAACCTTAAAAACATTTATGTACATAGAGTGTAGCATATTTGTTTTTCAATAAAAATAAAGAAGGAGAGTTAACTGTGTTTAACAATAGCCTGCTGTTATTTCATTTTTTTAAAAAAGTGTAAGGGATTTAATCTAGTCCTTAGTCTGAGGGAATCAACTTTAATACATAGTCTTATTTCAACATCATTCAAGTTCATTTTGGTAAAAACGTGTAAGAGATTTAATCCAGTCCATAGTCTGAGAGAATCCACTTTAATACATAGTCTTATTTCAACATCATTGAAGATAAGCATGTGAGAGCATTAACAGAGCATGGAAAAACTTGAAAGTCATGGAATTACAAGACAACTGTCTAGGTCTGGCTGGAATGAATGAAATTAGCAACAATCAATGTAACATGAAGATATTATTCTTACGTTATACTTTGAAATCAACATCTCAGACAAATGTCATGTGAGAACTTTATAAATGTCTTACAAGAAAGTGTCATCAATTGTCATGGGAGTCCATAAGTTTGAAACAGTATGAACCCTGAAATTATAAAATACACTGTGGCATAATGTACATTAACACAGAAGTTGATTTATTGGGTTTTAGTATGGCATCTGTGTAGTTGCTAACAACAGATACATGAAGCCAGAAAAAATTAAAACATGAATTCAAACTCTGTTGATCAGCATAACGTTTGTAAATGTACATGTAAATCTTTAACCCTCGACTCCTTACATCAGTATACAAGTTCTCCATACTGTTTTGTATTTATTTCCTATGTTACTTACAAGGAGAATTTGTCTACCCATCAATCATGACCTTTATTTTTAATTCAGGGGTGATACTTTTGGGAGAAATTAGATGCTTATCACTCTAAGGTGTTAAAGGGTTAGAAAAAGGAACTGCTCTCCACTCACTGGCCTCTGAAGATTTTCATACTAGTTACAGTGACATGCTATCCATTAAATGGCTCTAGATATGATTAACATACCTGGACAAATCATGCAAACTGAAGCGATGCAAATACAAGTAACTTTTAGTTATAAATAACTACAGTATGTGAAGATAAAAATGAACCATAACATATGGTATTACACTGACCATTTGCTTGAAAGTGCAAGAAACTAATATCTTTAAATAGAAATTCAGTCTAAAAAGTATAAGCATTTATTCAAGGAAAATTTTGCTGCACTTTGGAATAGCTAAGCAATGGCTCATGGAAAACAAACCAATCTATTTGAAAGAAATTAAAAACAAATTTTTCAACAGTATTTATTATTGTAATGACAGTTCTAACAAGTTGAGTCACTAACCAGATTATTAGTAAAAACCTGCTGATAAACTTTGTTCTGTTTTTGTCCCTTTGTGTGCCAAATAGTAAGTTACATCTTTGGAGTTTTAATTTTCACTTGTAGAGGACGTTGATCATACATATAACCATTCAATGCAAGTATTGCAGCTTGAGCCTGTGCCAGAGTAGCCATGGTTACAAAACAGAAACCTTTACACTGAGATTTTTCCCAGTCCCACATAATGTTAATTTTCTTTATTTCACCATAAGGTGAAAAAAGTTCATAAACTGCAGCCTCTGTTGCCCTGGCACCAATATTATAAACAAACAGAGTGAATCCTTCACCCTGGGAAGACATCTGGCTGAACCCCATGGGCGGAGGAATTTGAGGTCCTCCCATCATGGGGTTGTAGCGGTTGGCACGACGATTCATCATGGCTTGTGCCATGGGTCCAATAGCACCTTGTGGATGCAAGTTAAAACTTGGACGCTGAGAAGCAGCAGCTGTAGGTGGGGGCTTTAATTTACTTGTGTTGTCATCTGCAAAACGTACAAACATGATCTCAGTGCCTCCAGGGGGCATGGTGTTGTTTAAGGCATTGATGGCTCCTTCAGCTTCTGTCTTTAGATCAAATAAGACAAACCCAACACCTTTGGAGGACTGGGTTAACTGGTCTATGAGAATTTTGGTATTGACTATGCTACCATAAGGGTTGAAAAGTGCCTTCAGATCATCATTTGTCCATGATTTTGGTATATTTCGGACATATACATTTGCTCCCTTGATCTTCTCTCCTCCTTTTCTTGACAAGGCAACCTTCAAGGTTTTGTTATCTAGTCGATGACCATTGAGTGTATTGATTGCCAGCTGTGCATGTTCAGGTGTAAAATACTCTACGAAGCCAAAGCCATAACTGTAGCCTGTTGATTTGTGGCGGCAGATCTTGCAGCTCTTGGTCGGACCAATAGTTGCAAACAGTGCCTTAAATTCAGCATCAGTGTAGCTTTGTGGAATGTAGTTGACTATCAAATTGGTCTTGTTTTCTGATTCACCACTATCTCCTGTAGTTGCCATAGTAGAACAAAATTTAAACAAGGGATACAAATATATGGCACTGTTAGACAAGTCTTATCACAAATCTCAGAGGAATCAAGGTTGAAGAAAACAATTTCTGGAACTTTTGGCTCTTAAAACTTTCTGGATAAAAAAAAAAAATGAATCAAAAGTCAGCTCTAGTGTAAAATGTAACAAGACCAAACCTCAAAAACTTAAGTTAACAAGCAACTCCCTAACACAGCCTATCCCTAATCTGTTTACGTATACGAAGTTAAAAATCTATGAATATCAAACTAAAACGATGAACTACTCAAAATAACAAGTAGGAGGCATTCTTTAGTTGGAAGCGATCGCTTTTATCCACTTTTCTCTTTAAAGAAAAGAAAGCTTCATGTAAGATTACACACTTAATGTATGATTATACGCCTAGTTCATCGCTGTTCAAAGTTAACGAGAAACTTATAAGGTTCTATTCACAGCTGGCTTTTGAGAAAAACACGGGAAATCTATTACAAAATCATATTACCCCAAAACGATCCGTTTTTTTGAAGTTCGGATGCGCAACTTATATGTTCCTTCGCACTTTGAACCCTCTCTCTTAACAACTTTCCCAGCTACAATGAGGTTCGCCGCGAGTAGAAAGCGTCAATTCTTGTCTCGTTCTCTAGACAGCATGGAAAGTTGAAGTCGCCATTGCCAAATTACCCATAAATCCATTCTGATTTGAAACAGACGTATTTTTAGCGCAAAGCATTGTGGACTTGTAAACAGTTATGGCCGACCACAGGCTAGTTGCAAGGTTACGCTGCTGGTAAAGCTGAATTCAGCAGCTAAATGTCAGAATCATAGTTTGGAAGCTTTGTGAAACTTTTAAAATGGGCTCTACGATATCAACAGTAGGCGAGAAAAGAAAACATTCGGAATGCGAAGACGAAGAAGGTGGTCAAACAGAGGATGATAGGGTCGTCGATGTAGTGAAGAGGTATTTTGTAAACAACCCTAACTTAAGCTGAATAACTGTAAGGTTTTAATGTTACTACTTTGAGCGTAGAGGTAGGATTCAGGAATTTCGGCCCATAGGGTGACAACGAGAAGTATAGCTTCCACTGTGTCTCTTGAGCAGGCCTCACGAATACATCCAAACGAAATTGAAATGCCAATAGTGTTTGTCTTTACAAGCTCGTTCTTGTAAATAACTTGTAGAGTACCGTCACTGAACCATACTTATAAACCATGCAGTGTTAGTTCAGCACTGTGTAAGACATATGACGTCTTTTATTTCTGCTGATAAAAGTTATTGTAAACAATTTTAAACTTAATTGTTGGGTACTTTCTTTGTCGAAGGACAATCATAATATCGTATTGTGTGTAAGTCAAAACACACACACACACCTCCGGCTAGTTTTAAATCATTTGGCATTCCCACATTCATTTTAAAATAGAGCATCTCTTTTACCATTATTTTTTTTATTTAGGAAAAAGCTGAAAGGCACATGTGACTACATTTATCAGACACTGTTTCTTGATTGTGAAGGGACTGATGTGACAATAGAAGCTCTTGGTTAGTTATGAATTTCAGCTGATGATACTTCATGTCTGCTGTATTTTTATTCTCAGAACAATATGTGTATGCATATATACATAATTACCACTCCCTCAATTGCAATTTTTAGGGCTAATATGAACAAATTGATTGTTGTGTATAAACAAATTGTTTTGAAAGTCCCAACTACCAGGAGGTGGATTGGTTGGTCTTATGACATGTGCACTTGCAAATACTTGTAATGAGAGAATGCATTGTGTTTTTCTCCATTTTCATCTCACTGCAAACAACTGGTTTCTTGCTCTCACAATTCTTGCCATAATTATATGGAAGTAACTTATGCACGGTCCTCCTTACAAGAGAGGGGTGAGCTGAAAACTCTCACACACCAAGAACAAATCCACCAGGTTGGGTGGAGGGGTGAAGGGCTTGTACCTGGGACTACCAGATTACAAGCTCAGTGCCCTAAACACTCCGCTACACTGCCTACATGATGTTCATAATAAAGCAATGTGTACAGAAATTCACCATAAGGAATTTCATACTTGAATTTTTTACACATAAGATAAGAATTCAAATTCTCTCTTTTTTTTCACTTCATGAATGACAGGAAAAGAATGGAAACTTCACAGAATCTACTTGTGTCAGGTAAATATAAGTGGTAACATAGTTTACAAATGAAGTCTTTCATTGGGGATGATTTTTGAATGAATTCACAGATTCTTGAAGAATATTCAGATTGTATACATGTAGGTTTGAGAAGCCTTTCATAAACTTAATCTCAATTTGATATGCTTGAATTTATTAATTTTGATTTATAGAATTATAAATTGCAATGTGTTTACCCCACTGAAGTATAAATTGGTTATATCTGTGCCTACTGTCTTTGTAAGCCTAATATCCATTCTGGAAGTTTCTGTTTGGTATGAGATGTATTCCTTATATGTTTTTTTATTATTTGGATTGTAGTCTAAATATTTCCAAAGCATGTTCAATGGATCATGGAAAGAGTCTAATGAAAACCATGTAACTTTGGAGATTCCAGATGAAAATATTGATATTGAAGGTAGGGAGTCAGGCTGAGGGAACTCTCTGGCTTATCAATTTAGACACTCAAAAATTATTTCATGATAATTAACTGTGGTTTTGTATTTAGCTCTGAATACAGCATTTGGTTCATTGTATTGTGATGAAGTGAGTATCACCCCTGCTACAGTGGTACCTCTCTTAGCTGCTGCTAACCTTCTTCAGCTGGTGGGTTTTTATATCAAGGAACCTATCATATGCTGCTTTGTTGATTTCAAATTGATTTTTTTCTAGTTAAGGTGTTATTTAGTCTAAAATATCCTATCTACAGCCCTAAGAGAACCTATACTTACATATAGATTAAAGAACATGGTAAATATCACAACTAAAGAATATTGCTGCATTGTAGTTTCTCTACTATGAATCCCTTTTTCCTTTATTACATTGCATTTTTGTAGGTTTGCTCTGTATCTTACATGAATTTATAGTCAAGTTAACTTGAAATTATTCCAAGTCTATCTTGAAATTTTCAAAAACATTTGATTTTAGACAGGATTATTTTTAGTAGTTTATCAGATTTATTATAAGTGCTGACTTAGAGATAATTTGTGAAGGTCTATTCCTCTCCTTACTGCTAGTTTGTAGCTTTAACTAAAGCTTTGATATTGTTCATTTGTTTCTGTAATAGCACAAAACAGTGCAATAATGCAATAGTACTCACCAGTGGTCAATTAACAATTGGTTCATGTGTCAGCTTGCATTCATTGAGACATGAAGCACGCAGGAAGTTTGGAGAGCACAAAAGATGTGTAAGAGTTTCTCAAGGCATAGCCGAGAGCAACTCTAGCTTTTTGAGTGCTCTCCAAACTTCCCAAGTGCTTCATTTCTCGACCAACGAACAGCTGACGCATGAACCAATTGTTTTATAATGTTTTCAACTTGATGGAAAATTTTTTTCTTGAGGGATTTGTTTGCTGACGTCATGAGTGTGCACAATAGGAATATGAAGTACGCTTGCACAATTGAATTTGATTGGACAAATTTACTAGCTATGTTATTATATTTTTTTGTTTGTAGGAAGGCTTATGTCAACAGTGCTCTGAAGCAATGATAGAAACGATCAACAAATCTACAGTTTGTGCTTATTATGCTGCAGCCACACAATATTGTGAGGCAGAATTACAGACCAAGTGTGTGGAATGGCTGGAAAGAAGACTTACCTCGGAGACATCAGTGTCTCTTTTGAAGGATATTAGGTAGGAACATATAATGGAGTGGCTCTAAATGTATCCACTATTCTTTAAACACCATTTTTTGACAGATCTATATTACTGCCACTTTTTCTCACTCTCTTAAACAATTTGAAGTAATTATAATTGTCTTTGACACACATGCAATATTGCCATGAAAATGCTTCAGCCTCTTACAAACACTGTTGATTTATAGGCTTGTGTTGAAGCCTGAAAAGAAATTCAGCAATTTCTCTTTTTTTATTAAGTGAATTGCCATCAGCATGCCAAGAATCACCTCTCTGTGCTGCAGATGTAGAATAACCTTGAATTTTAATGATTCAAGGGTAATGGTGGTGTTATATGGAAAATAAAACAAGAAAGTGTGGAAGTAGTAATACATCATAAAATAAAAAACAATTAAACTATTTTGATCTTCCTGTTGTGTTATTTTCACAAACTTCTGAGCAGTTTAGTTCGCAGCTGGGGTCCTTTAATAATATTTTGACATTTTCAAGGAAGCTGCCAGAGGGTATCTAGGGATTAGAATATTACGAAAAAGCCTTATATATATTTCTTGAAAATTTCTGGCTTTTCAAACATGCACTAAATGTTGGTCATGGATATGTTCTAAAACTTAATGGATGGTATTGATGATGAATCAACCAAAGAAATATTTAGCAATCTACCTTTTTCTCTTTTTGTAGCATTGAACTGATGACTCAACTTGTAAATTCTCAAGGATTATTCGTGATGCAAATTGAAGTGGATGTATACAACTTACTTAAAGTTTGGGTGTATACCCAACTTTTCCCTGACTGCAAGGGGAGCTGGAAAGACATACGAGAACAGAGTAATACATACTTTTCTTTGCGACCCTCTGATATGAATTGTTTTTTGGATACTGATGAGGGCAAGGTATTTGTGCCTGCCTTTAGAGCTATAAGACTTCACCATGTTGTTAATGACCTGCGTTCGATTCATCTTCTCGACAAAGACAGAATTATTCCTCAAGGTAAAAAGTTTAATTATTTTTCTATTTACTAGATTTTTGAGAGACCTAGGGGTTGGCTCTACTTGTTTGCAAGCTCTAAATCACGGCTTTAAGGGGTCTTGGTTTCAGCTGTAACCAGGTCATTGTTTTATGTTCTCTAACAGTGCCTCATCCCACTCGAGAAAAAAAATTGTTACCTTTGAAGTAATAGAGAAACCTTGTGAATGTGCTTTTGAAAGGGGAGGGGAGGGAGGGTTGGCTGGTATGTACTAGCATCCCACATAGGAGGAGAGGCATTCTGGCTGGCAGTATTTCTGATGCTTGGTGAAATCAAGGATAGCAGATAGAGAAACTGCCAACTTGAATTGACATATTTTCATGAGACACAGTCCACTTCAAACACCTTATCAACTAGATAAACTGGTATGTGGACAAAAGTCAAAAGTCTGTCATATTGAAGTCCAAACACAGACTCAACTGAACACAAGCTTCATCCCAATAGAGTTTATCCCAGTTTCCACAACACTATGCAACTTGGAGTATTCTTACCTCTGCAAAATGGAATACTAGTCCATCCTTGGCTAGCCCCACTCTGTACCCATTCACGCTCCTTGGTGGAGAGATGCACTTTGAGAGTAAAGTGTCTTCCCCATCAATAAAATGGTATGATTAGGCTATGGCCTAAAAGTAGACCTCCTGATGTAGTGTTCAGTGCAACAATCAAATGACATGATTGTAAAAAGGAAAAAAGAAGGAAAAAGTCACTGCACAGCCTGGTTTTATTTACAGACCTCCCATTGTGGTTTGTAGATTACTAAGAGAGAGGAACTTTATAAGTAACATATTTCTTGAAAGATTGATTCCTGATCAATAACTTTATATCTTTTTGAACAGTTTTCTCCCTATCTGATACTGTATTTGTTTTCAGATTGGATGCATCCAGTTTACAAGAAACAGTGGACTTCCATGCTAGCAATGTCCCAAAGTAGGGACCCAGGACCTTTAGCTGATGAATTTGGTGGAAGTGCTCTCAGGTGTGGTCGAATATTGGAAAGGAGTTCATCGGTATGTCATTTCCTTTTCACTGGGCGCTTATTTGTCGAGATTACAGTTATTTCAATTGGAGAGGATAATTTTTTATTCACCAAGCAACCTCTCTTATACCAGGGGTTGCAGTGGTTTTAGATACACTATCCAATGAATATGTCCAGCCAGAAAGGGGACCTGTAGCTCCAGATCTCCTTTCTTGATTTGTTTGTCAGCCAGCACATGTAACACAACATGTAGTGTTGCTGTCCTTCCTTTGCTTGAAGATAAGATTGACCATGTCAAACTCATTTCATCTTGGTTTTGTAGTATCAAATAAAAGGTATGGTTTGGAATGCCAATGTTGATTAGGAAGGGAGGGTATTACCAGTAATCTGCACAGTACATGTATTGATGATTGTAGAATACCAAGGAGAATTGATGTCTTGCATATGAAGTCTCCCTAATGGTGACCAATGGAATGCTATACAGGAATAATTTTTGTTTTCAAGGTGTATATTCCACTGTCACCCTTTCGGTCTTGTCTAGTAGAGAGGTCCAAGTAATAAGTTGGGAAGTTACTTGCTATGAGCAAGTAGCTAAACAATATCTCCAAAATAAGGCTTTGTTTGAAGCATATATTTGTCCATAGCATAGCTTGGTAATACTTTTATCCATGATATGTGTTGTAATGACTGCAAATATATGAAAATAATTTAATTAAGTGAACTGTGGATTAAGAAATGAATATGAAAGTGATCTTTGCTGTAATGAACACTACTTAAGCAGTAATGAAAATAAGGCCTGAAAAAAAAAATCAAGCCTCTACAAAGATTGCTTTCATATTCATTTGATATGTTTTATGTTATGGAAAGGGAAGTGTAAAAAACATAATCTCTGTTATTGCTGCATTTTGAACCAAAAGTTCAGTTACATTTTCTTTTCAATTGTTAGTATTGCTGGCGCTGGACAGGATTCTCATATGGTATTGACATTATTATGACATACAGCCCCAAGACAAAGCATCTTTCATTGAGGCGCAACACGTACACACATCCAGTCAGTGGTGCAGTTTGTCTTCATCAACAAAGAAACCTAGTGGTGCGAGTTGCTGCAGCTGCATTTGATGTCAAGGGTTGTACAAGCTATTATAAATGTTCTGGACTCTTAGATATGACTCTAGACCCTGATGAGGAAAAGGTAGTTTTGCAACTTGACCGGTCTGTGGTTTTTCCTCTTAGTGTCAGTGTACACATGGCCTTAGTTTCTACAGAGCATGTGATGATGACGCAAAGGCATTCAAGAGAAGACCAGTGATGGAATGGAATTGGAATTATTCATCACATACTGCAAAGATTAAGAAATAGTGGAAAATGAGATAAGATATCCTTATTTGAAGAGAAAACCATTATTTTGAACATGCAGTATAGATTTGTGAAATTGATATGTATTGTTTCACACTGTTTCCTTCATTTAGACTAATAATAATGGTGGTATTAAAATGGTTCTCATGTACAGAAAACTATAATTTTGGGAGATTGTGGAGAAAAATAGGAAATCTGTTATAATAATAATGACGTGGCTATTGATCTGAATTTAAAATGGATTTAATGGATGAAGCCAGGACATATAAAAATTGAGTATGGATTCTATTAAGAAATGAGATATTGCATCTTGTAATAAAATAAACATCTTGACTTCCAGTTGTTTTCAGTGAATTGGAAGTGCAGGTGCTCCATCATATTGAAAGTATGATGTGGATTAACTTCCTAGAAACTTCTTGAACCTGGCAAAATAGTTCTATTACTTTTCAACACTGATTTGCCAATGCATTTTTCTTTATTCTCATCACTTGACATTGTATCAATATAGTAAGGATAAATTCTCTCCTGGTCACTCACGGGAGTTAAAGGGTTAACAAGTTTGTGATCATGTTTTTGACCTATGTCAAATCAGTCTCTGATGACACCTTTACTGTACCCCTTTTAAAGTGCACACTACTTTTTGGTAACTAGATATTTAAGATAAACGTTTCGAGACTTCATATTCGTCGAAAATTCCCCCAAAACATTTTTTGTTCGAACTTTGCGCAAATCCAAGGAGTAATGAAAATGTAACTTCTCCCCATAATATTCACACATTATCAGGCAAACAGGTGATGAGAATACTCGAACTAAACAGGGGGGTTTCGCAGGACTGGTGTAGAGATCGGGCGTGACTTGTTTCTGAGGGCTCTGCGAATTCAGCCGAATTGGTTGACATTGTACTGCCTTTTGAAAACCTATTGAACTGGGACGAGAAACACTTTTCAAGTGGAAAGGAAGTTTAGAACAGCTTCAGGATTTAAAAAAAAGTTCTGAAATTGGATGCCCTGACGACGTGTATTTCAGAAAAATCTGGTTTTATAAGTCCAACAATGTTACGATAGTGCTGTTCAACAGCACAGGGACTCCCCAAGTTCAAGGTCCAGAGGCAAAATCTTCAAAGGCTAAATTATGAAGATTGTTTCAGTTTCCCGTGGAAGATGAACTGGTTATTGTTGTGAGGGGAGATGGCTAGCTCGCTCTTCACTTCTTATAATGGCGCTATTATTGGCCTACTGTAATTTACGAAACGAAACGAAACGAAGTGAAAATCTGTAATTTTCAAAATGGAAATGAGCGAGTGATTTGCAGAATAGAAATCTGTAGTTTGCGAAATGGAAATATGCTAATGATTTGCGAGTGAGGAAAAAATTGACGTACACAAGAGAAGCCTCGAAATCCACAACTCGCTAAAATGGGTTCTTTTCATCAAAGTAAGCGGTCAGATAACAAGCGATACGCTGTGGAAGTAAGGTGAGGTATTTTTATTGAGAATTTGACGTATTTTGTTTACTCCTTAGGGCTGTCGCAAATATTCCCACACAAACTCTTTTGACTGTTATTGCGCAAGATGATCACATCATAGTTGGAGCTTGGGCCGCCTGTGGGGTCAGTTACATTTTCCCAGCAAACATGGTCTTTCTTATAGAAACATGCTGCGTCACTTTCCATGTGCATTTCCGGTCAGATAAGTGTCGTGTCACGCATTCGAATTATTCATCGACAGCGTACATCGACTACACCATATAGACAGTACAGCATAGCGTCAATTAAAATTTCAAATTACTTCTGAGCTTTTAGACCAAAACGACGCATTAAGTTATTCACAAACGTAGAGGAGATTTCGCAGAGTTCACCACGCACATTTTTTATTTCTCACTTTCGCTAGTTGTTTTTATTACTATTTGGCAGGCTTCAATCCGCTCTTATAGTGTACTGACCGATTTATTCTTCTAGCTTGTGGAGCTTTCCTCCGAGAATCATAGCTTGTAGCAAATTTCCATTTTGTAAGGAAACCTTCGTTGTGTAGGCTAACTGTTGTGTCTCGTGGACGCAGTTACCAGGACCTCTCAGTCAACATTGTTTGTACATTGTGAATTATTTGCTCTTAGTCACAAAGTAAACAAAAGACTTTCGATGTAAGTTGTCATTGCGCAAGTTGAATTCTTGTTACAAACTTTTTAAAGTTGTAAAGATTGTATTTTAAGCCTCACTAATGGGTGGATCTCTTTCGCGAAGTCCAAAGCAGAAGTCCAAGAAAAAAGTTGAAATGGATGGTTCGATCGATCGGCCCAGAAAGACCCCCAAAGCTGTCAAAGGTAAAAAGAAAGATGAACCGCCGGGGCAAGCCGAAAGGACAGGTCAAGAAACTCTCGATATGGAAAGGAAAGATAGTAAGATATTTTGGATTTCGCATGTGTCAAAGAGAACTAATTCTCAAGACGATATTAAGGCACAGACATTGGTGGACAGCAAAGCAATTTCCAAACCAACGGGGGAGTTAAGCCCCCTAGAAGGGAAACACAGTGGCAAGCAAAACGCTGTTGTGTCAGGTCTGAAAAAGAACAACAAAGGGAAGAACTCAAATGGAGCGAATTTGAATGGCTACTTGAGTGAAAAGAAATGCAATAGCGTGGTATTGAATGGTTCACATGTCTTTGGGGAAGAAAAACAAGATCTGGAGGACTCGAATTCCAGTGTAGTCCCGCAATCTCCAGGTCTGCTTCCGGGGCAGACAAGCGGGAGCATTGATGCATCACATTTAATCTCTGTAAATGAACTGTATAACTATTTCTGGGATGGAGGTCTAAACTGTAGCATTTTCGATCCCTCTTATATGCTTCTCGTAGACGCTAGACCTCGATCTGAATACGAACGAGGTCATATAATATTGGCGCACTGTGCAGCATCTCTGTACAATGACTTGCTTACTTCTTCCACATTTGGGTATGGGTACATGGCCAGTAGTGGCGAACAAGCCATTGCCAACAGTCTTAGCGAGTATACTCACCTAATTGTGTACGGAAACCCTGTTTTAGACACTAAAAGTGGAGATCTACCTGAAATAAAACTCATGAGAGAGCTCATGAATTATGAGTTGGTAGAGCCTATGTTGCTAGCTTCAGGTTATGATTGTTTTAATCAAACTTGGCCCTTCATGTGCACAGCAAAGGAACTTACTATTCGGCATGACCATAAGGAAATCACACCATATCCATCCCTCATTTTGGAAAACCAGCTCTATTTAGGCCGAGGAGTGCAAGCTACTAATGAGAAGATATTATTGGACCTCAAGCTCACACATGTTGTAAACATTGGTAGTGAGCACCCCTCACCTTTCACTGATCACATTCAGTATCTGAATATTAAGCTTGATGACAGTCCTTCTAGTGATTTAAAACTTTATTTTACAAAGGCGTATCATTTCATAGATGATGCCTTGTCAACTGGTGGGTGCATTCTTGTGCATTGTAATCTTGGTGTAAGCCGCAGCTCAACGGTTGTCATTGCATATCTGATGAAGTCAAGAGAATGGAGCCTTAAAATGGCTTATGACTTTGTCAAGGATAGAAGACACTGTATTCAGCCGAATCGTGGATTTTTACGGCAACTTGGTGACTGGGAGAAAAGTGTCTTAGGACATAAAGAAACAGATCCTGATGATTTGTGGTTTTAGCAGCAACAATGTGCTATTCTTGGAAAATTTGTTCTTTATTTAGGAGACCCATGGAAGAAGTATGTTTCATGTGTACATTTCCAAGATGGCCTGCTTGCTGCAAAGTTGGCATTTATAAATTGGGATGGGGTGTGTATATGAATCAAAGTAGATAGAAAACTAGATAAGATTGATTTGCATCTATTTAAAATAAATTTTAAGATACTTGTTCACACAGCAACCCAAAAAAAATGACTCAAAATAATTGTTGCTTGCATATTTTCTTCTTGAGAGCAATACAGTGTCCTATTTGTACAGTGCATTGCTGTATTTATTATTTGGTTTGTATATTTTATGCCAAGCAGCCAAAAACCACATCTTGGTTTTCTAACTACTGTGGCTGCTTTGTGATCAGCTTATTTAATATGTTGTGATTTGAATGTTGCATTTGGATTTGAAAAATGTAATTCAAATTTTATTTTAATTAATTTTAATTAATTAATACAATGTTCATAAAAAATATGTTATGTATACTTTAAGGACTATGTTATAATTTATTTATTCTTATAATTTCTTATTTTTACTATTTTGTATCATGACATTTTTAGTCCTTTTTTTATGTATTTATTATAATTTTATTATATACAGATTTTATACTATATATATGCAGATGGTGTAATACCAGATAGTCTTTTTAGTCTATTTGGTCCATTATTTTGCATTTCAAATAAAGCTATTGTATTGCATTGTATTGTATATCATGCATACTGCTGTCACAGTGTTACCTTAAAATTCATGTTACTGTAGCATTGCAAACCAAAACCAATTTTTAATCACAATGTAAAAAGAAACTAGATATCTGTAAAAATGAATATATTTATAACAAGTGATGCTTTAAAAACTACTGAATGCATGTGGAAATGTTTTGGAGATGAATTTTTGTTTATTACTTTGGTAATGAACATAACTTCTCCTGGTAGGCTTTGTGTGGAGTTATTCTTTAAGAGGGTCCCCTATACTTTTTATATGAATTGTAATTGGGCAATTTCTTTGCCTTTTGAATCATGATTTGTTTTTTTGTTTTAATTGAGAATTGTGACAAAAGATGATAAGATATTTTTATGTCCACATTGACAAAATTTTTTATTTAAAAGTGGCCTGTGAATAAAGAGCTGAATTAAATGTGATTTGTGAACCATTTTGTTTTAGGTGATGGATTTCCAGCTATTTTGTTGTTTTGAAAATGTATGTATTGTTCTCAAGTGGCTGTGGTTAGGTTTTGACCAGGGTTTTGATTGGGGATGGACTTCATATAGATCACTAAAAGTCAACAAACAGGCCACTAAATGGTTCTTGAACAAATGAGATAAGATATTATGTCATCTTTTGTCACATAAGACAAAGCCTACAAAAAGTAAGATATTTATTCAATGTGATTGGCTCAAATTTTGCATGAACATGGAAGGATTTTGGATATTATTTGTGATGCATGAAAAGGCCAAATATTTTTTTTGTGATAAAGGGGTATCAAGTAACCCCCTTAAATCTTTGAGTTACAGGCACAAGAGAGTGAATAGCCTTTCTGTTTTGTTTTTTTCCGTGAATATGCATTACCTTGGCTGTGTGTGTCTTTTAATGGCTTGAACAGTGTTTATCTGCCTGAAGGAGAAAATATTCCTTCTGATTTGCAATCTAGGCATTATTACCATTGTTATTATTTGTCTGCTTAGTCAGGTTACAGATGTCTGATTAAAATAATGGCAGAAATCCATAGTCGAATTCTTTGCAAATTTTAGAGATCATTCTGGAATAGCCGGACCCCTCTTGTCATGCTGAAAGTAGGACTCTCTCATGTTTGAGAAGTTGTGACTGGGATATGGTACCTGTAAGATGAGATCGCCAGGTTCCTAAGCCAAATATGGCGAACAATTTTATTAGAGGATCACGAAATTTTGCTTCATTGTTTTGCCTTGGAATTCGGAATCTTCCCAGAGTTACCACTCAAAAATGGGTGGGTCAGACAGGAAAGACCACATACCGATGTATGACAACGATAGTAGATCGTAAGTGTTTTTGTTATGCGTTGGAAAATCGGTGATCGATTAGTGTGATGTACTAGCACGTCACGTTGGGTACCAAGTGATTTTGCTAATAATAATAATAATAATACATAAATGTAAGTCTGAAAACTTAAACACAGCTTTTATTGAAGCTCTTTCTCAAGAAAATCGTTATTTTTGATAGATGGTAGTAAATTTGTATCTATTGCTTACTAGTTCGAATTTAGAAATTGAATTTGTAGTGATCTGAGTCTTACGTAATACAGAGTCTGACTAAGTATGTAAATAAATGTTCAGAAAATCAGTCAAAAGCTGTCGATGCGAAGAGAAAGTGAGGGAAAGGTGGAGCACAGCGGATTGTGTTTAAGAGATCATGGAGGGATATGGTCAAGAAATACTTGACTTGAGAGAATTCATTAATTACTGACAATTATATGTTTCAAATTTGTTTCCTTTCAGCATCACTTGGACTTACAGATGATCAAAGGGAATTTCAAAGAGTTGCCCTAGAGTTTGCTAAGAATGAACTTGCTCCTGAAATGCAAAAGTGGGACCAGGAGGTTTGTGAAAAAAAGGATTCTAATTTTTTTTTTAGAAAAATTGTACAGTTTTATGATCATTATGGTAGATTATCAGATTTATTTTCAGTTTTTAACCTAACAGTAACCATATGCCTTTTAGTCATGTAAACTTTAACCTCAACGATAAATGTGGCGTTGTATTTCTCAGGAAACATTTCCTGTGGATGTGTTAAAGAGACTGGCTGGACTGGGATTTGGAGGTAAGGAAACTTTGACGGAGCTAATCTCTAATTTGCAACTGATATGATAAGCAGGACTGCAGGTAGTTAATTTCTCTGTTTTATCTAGTTCTTTATGAACTGACAATGTCTCTTACCTGTGATCCAAAATACTGAATACTCAAAAGTTAAACAAATCTCATGACTGTGGATTACACATTGGTATGTGGTCTTTCCTGTTTCCTTTTTAGGGTATCTTTATCCAATGTAGGTGTTATTTTAAACTCTGGTCCTAATCCTTAAACTCCCATGAGTGACCAAAGCAGAATTTCTCCTTACAATATTAATACATTATCAAGCTGACAAGAAACAAGAAAAAAGAAAAATACAAATAAGGATATTATTAGTTGATCCAATAACAAATTCTTCAAACTAGAATCATAAGAACTATATGAGAAGCAGTAAGGAGAATCACCAGTGAGATCTTGGGAGTGAAATGGTTAATTCAGTCAATTGTCTAAAGGGGTAAGTTTGTAAAGAAACTGTGGTGCTGCGTCGGTGGGAGAGTATAGCAGGTAATTTAGTGTTAACAACTGGGTTGAAAACGTAAATTAGCCACCGTAAAGAGTAAAAAAGCTGACGTTTCGAGCGTTAGCCCTTCGTCAGAGCGATTGGTCGAGTGATTGGTTAATTCAGTCAATTGTCTACTAGTCTTTGACCACTAAATCTAAACTGAGATTATCAATTTTAATGACAGGTCTAAGTTTTAAGCAACACCCAAGAGAATAAGTTTCTTCTTAACCTTTTAAATGAAAAAAGAAAAATAAAAAATTGCTAATTTACATTCTTTGAATGTGTGATTCTTTTGTAAGAGTTTTCAAATTGGAAAAATGCAAGACTTACGTGAATTGGTTGTGAATGTAATGAGAACCTGTTCAATTTGTCCATTTCTTCATTAAGGTATATATTAATTACACATCATTTTACGCTGTGTATAAAGCTACTTTGGAAATCTTTTGATTGGTAATTTTCTTCTCTGAGCTATTGATGCAAAAGAAGATTATGGAGGCAGTGGAATGTCCAGATTAGAAGCATCTGTAATATTTGAGGCTCTTTCCACTGGATGTGTCAGCACATCCTTTTGATCTCTATTGTTTCATAATTTTCTTCTCTCAGCTATTTATGCAAAGGAAGATCATGGAGGCAGTGGATTGTCCAGATTAGAAGCATCTGTAATATTTGAGGCTCTTTCCACTGGATGTGTCAGCACAACAGCCTATCTCAGCATCCACAAGTGAGATTATTGAAATTCTTCCAAAGTATATTCGGGTTTTTTTTCCCCTAAAATCACTAACAGTTCACAAGACATCATAACATATTTTTTTTCCACTTAGTATGGTTGCTTGGATGATTGATGAGTTTGGTTCAGAAGAACTCAGAGAAAGATTTGTTCCTGAATTAGCTTCCATGCAGGTTAAGTAGGAAATTTTTTTCCTAAATTTTCTTGATAATTTAGTCTTCTTATTACTGCCTTGTGTAAGGGGCTTAATTTTTTTTGTTGTAGTCATTAATAAATAATTTGTGAACTAATACATCAGAGCCAGAGTGTTGGACATGAGACAAAATTGAAAGTGTTTTTGAACATGACCACTTATGCCGATACTTTACCATTATGAGGTGATATTTTTTGCACCTTTTTGGATACATTGGTGGGTGCCATACATGGCAAAACTTATTACAAAAACTTATTAGGATTATAGCTAAAACATTTCCTGCAATAAATGTTTGAAATTATTTTTCTTAACACTGTTTCTACCTGTTTTCAGAAATTTGGATCTTATTGCTTAACAGAACCTGGTTAGTATTCTCAGTAAACAAATTTAATTTTTGATCATCAGTCATTACGACCAAGTTCATTTAGACTTAGAGTTATCATAGTGTGTTGGTATTACACTTTTAGGAATATGACCTGAACTGTTTTTATTTGATAGTTGTATGTAGAATAACTCTTTACACTCTAACATCATTTTGCATATTCTCCACACCATTCTCTGGATATTTCCTGTGGTGTTAATGAGGAGAATTGTCAATCAATCAAGAGCTTCTTTAATTAAGAATCATTTTCATTATTCTTATGATCTTGATACCCATGATTCTGTGAGTAGAAATTACATGCTTCCAGGGGTTGAAGGGTTTAGGAATAACTCATTATTCTTTTAAAACTCACCCTTGTAGAAA